AAAAATTTTTTTGGGCCAGTAGATGGCACTCTCATGTCCGGGGATACCCCTTCCAAGTGTGGGAGTGGGAGGCCCTGCCTCCCCCCCCACCCACCCGCCCAGAAGGAAAGTTATCCCGACAGTTTTTTTTTTCCTTTTTAAAGGCCCTGGGGGGGTCAGGCCCCCCCCCTACCATGGGGGGAAGCCTTTGGGGGGGGGGTGGGCCCCCCCCCCCCCTAGCATGTGGTGTGAGTAGAAGCCCGCCCCCCCCCCCCCCCCTGGAAGCGATGTCCGCCTGCTCTCGCCGCTGGCGCCCCCGAAATGGCTCAAGCTAGGCTCACGATCTTCTTTGCCGCCGCCGTCGTCCTCTGCTCGACCTCGGCAGCCTTCACGCCCGCACCGGGGCGCACTCCGGCCGTGCACACCGCATTCTCCAGTTATCGATAGTGATGAAAGTTACAGGGGCGTGGGTAAGAGGGAGATTCGCGCGAGCTGCGTGACCGCGGGAACGGCGGGCGGGATTGCGACGCGCCGCCACTTTTGGCGACTTTTGGGACGCGCGATCGATGTGTGTTCGATCGGCCGAGAATCGAGATGGAACATGGATCCCTACCGTACCGTAAGGTCCAACTGCATGTGCATGTGCATATGTAGCCGTCACCCGTCTAGACAAAACGACACCCCACACTCACCGAGAGCGCGCTTGTCGTCTCGACGTTGTGCCACCAATTCCGAGGAAAAATCACGACGTCGCCCTCGTGCAGCTCGATGGTCTGCGCGACGGCCGCCGCCTCGCTGAACCGCGGGTAGTCCTCAGCCCGCTCGTCGGGCGCAGCGTACAGGCTCGGCCGCGCGCGGCGATGCAACGGGTGGTCGGCCGGGTACGGGTAGAGGCCGCGCAGCGCCGCCGGCGGGAAGAAGGTGACGCGCTTGGAGCCTCGCATCTGCGCGAGGAACGAGTCGGCCGAGTCGAAGTGCAGCGGCGTCGTCGCGCCGCGCGTCGAGACCCACAAGCGCAGCGGCTGCGCCGGCGAGTCGAGGAGCGAGCGCCACAGCGCTGGCACGCGTCCGGCTTGGATGGTCTCCGCGGGCAGGTCGGCCTGCATGTAGTACCGCTCGCCGGCCGCGTAGAAGAGAGGCGGCAGCCCGCCCGCCGCCAACCCGATGCGCGCGACGAACTCGGAGCCGCTCATCGCTTCGCAGACGCG